AGGACCAGCAGGACCAGCAGGACCTTGAGCCCCCTTACATTAAAGAGGAGCAGGAGGAGCTGTGGAGTAGCCAGGAGTCAGAGCAGCTTCAAGGCCTGCAGGAAGCAGAAATCACCAAGTTTACCTTCAGTCCTGTTTCAGTGAAGACTGAGGATGATGAGGAGAAACCACAGTCCTCACAGCTTCATCACAGACACTCTGTGGGAGGACCAGAACCACATCCGGACCCAGATCGACGTTTGCAGCCAGTTAGTGAAGAAAATTCTTTGGACTCCACTGAGACCGACGATAGTGACTGTGATTGGACACAAACTAACGAAGCCCAGTTGGGTATTGAGGACATTAGAAACAGTGACGTCACTGACGGTGATCTGCAGACAGCAGTGAAGGAGAGACCGTTTCCTTGCTCATACTGTGGAAAAAGGTTTAGCCTCAAGGGAAACCTGAACAGACACATCAGAGACCACACAGGTGAACGGCCCTTTCCCTGCACAGACTGTGACAAATCCTTTAAAGACAGCGGATCACTAACGGCACACATGAGGTGTCACACCGGAGAGCAACCATACAGCTGCTTATTCTGTGGGAAGAACTTCAGTGGCAGAGGAAATATGACCCGACACATGAGGATCCACACGGGAGAGAAACCCTTCACCTGCTCTGTGTGCAGCAAGAGCTTTCATGTGAAAGAACACCTCAACAGACACATGAAGTACCATACTGGGGAGAAACCCTTCAGTTGCTCCATTTGTGGGAAGGGCTGTGCTCAGAAAACTGATTTAAAGAAACACATGCGGGTGCACACCGGGGAGAAACCATTTAGTTGCCCCTTTTGCGGGAAGTGCTGTGCAGAGAAAGGAGACTTGACAAAACACATGAGAGTTCACACTGGAGAGAAACCCTTCAGCTGCAACATCTGTGGAAAGAGCTGTGCCCAGAAGGGGAGCCTGAAGATTCACATGAGAGTTCACACCGGCGAGAAACCTTTCAGCTGCTCTGTCTGCGGCAAATGTTTCACCGTCACTGGACACCTGAAAAGACATATGAAGCTGCACACAGCCGACAGTCAGCCAAGTGAATCTCTAGGTTCACAGGCAGCCAAACTTCAGACTGAAGTTAAAATTGACGAAGGAGCGAACACGTCATGAACAGGAAGTGTAGCCAAGTTCATGCAGCTGTTCCAACTGTCACTGCAGAGTTAATGACAATAGAAATGTTTATCAGTGATGTTGAATACGAGACGATGGGTGAACATCTTGAAAATGTTCTCATAAAACCAGATCAAACCTTCGCTATGGTTTATGGTTGCTTGTATTGGAAAGTTTCAAACCTTGTTGGCTGCAGCCTCAAAGAGTCTGAGGAACCTGCTGCTGCTGTGTGGATGCAGAGTAGGAACAGTGACAATGGCTTTGCAGCCATTTGAATCAGGACTCAACAGATTCAACAGACATGAACAAATGTTTATATGCACTTGTAAAGATGATGTATATCAAGACAGTAGTAAGTTCCAGTGATTTCTTGGACTCTCATTTTTGATGATGGAACCATTGAAGCACATGGATCTTTGTCTTTGGTTCTTTCATAGATTTATTAAAGTTCTTTTGAAAATATGACAAAGTCTGTTTGGTCAAAAATATACATACAGAAATGCTGATATTTGGTTAAATGTTGTTTGCTCATTTTCACTTCAGTTAGATTCTGGTCTCCGTCCACCAGCTTCTGGTCCATCTCTGACTCNCTCAGTCTGTGGGAAAGACTTTGCGTGGAGAAGACATCTGACCAAGCACATGGAAGATCATGCAAAGAAGAAACTGTACCACTGTGGCATTTGTGATGCCAAATTTGTTTCCAATTATTGGTTTACGAAACATCAGCACACTCACCAGTCATCACAGTTTCATCTCAGCAGCTCAGCTGAACACATGGAGGCTGATGGAGAAGACTGTGGAGAACCAGAACCAGAACCACATTTACAAGCAACGACTGAGGACAAGACTGCAGAGTTTTCTGACCCCGACACTGATGACAGCGACTGTTTGAGAAAAAACAGAAAAGCTAAGTTCACGCCTGAACCAGGCAGAAATGTATTCAGCTGCTCGAAAGAGAAGAATCAGCAGCCACAGAGTGACGACAGTGTCGACAGTGACTTCTGGAAGGATGACAGAACACTGTGCTTCAGTTTGGACTCAGAATTTTCAGGCAAAAAAAAATTTAAGGACTCTCTCACCCTCTGACAGCTGTTCGGTCTCTAAAATGTCAGCAAATGGGGAAAAATGTTGATCAGTTTCTTCAAACGTCTTGTTTTGTCCAAAGATATTCAGTTTACTGTCAGAGAGGAGGAAGTAAACCAGAAAATATTCACATTGAAGAAGCTGAACTCACAGAAATGTGATTGTTTTTATTTGAAAATTGCTCATATATTGATTATCTAAATATTTGCAGATTGATTTCATAGTCTATTGCTGATTCAATAATCATTGTAGCTCTGCAACTCACACAAAGACAAAATTCAATGAAGCAGCTCAAAACCTTCAACACAAAAACACAGACGGCTCCATGTTATTCCCTTTACTTTCTCTAATCCATTAAACTCTATTAAAGTAGAACACCACATCGCTCTATTTGGGGAATTTTACTTAAGTTTGTTGATTATTCGTTCAGTGAGTTGTGGGAGCTATGGGATAGACAATATTGTTATTTTCACCTCAAAGAGCTGAGCTCCTAGCAACCCATAATAAATGCATTATTCACACCACACCTGGTTTTCTAGTAGCGTCCTTTAATTAGACGTCTTTTGGACAGCAGGTTGTTGTATCTTAGTGCTGATAGATGAGATAAATCCACAGAGAGCCGAGAAGAGTTCAGAGGAAGATTATTG